AAATGAAAATTTAAAAATAAAATCAAACATATAAAACATTTTCAAGCATGTAAAGCCCACAATCTCTCTTTTTTTTTTTTCTTCAATTGCATTACTCCAAGTAGCTAATGTGATGTAAAACATATTAAGTTCCTAATTCTACGAGTCGCCTTTGTGCCACACCCCTCGAGGCAAGCCCAAACAAGTCCATGTTAGGGTCTTAAATTCTTAATTCTCACACAGAAATAATGATTTTATAATTTTATTTGCCTTTTAGATATTTTATTAAGATGAATGAATGAACAACTTTATCAACAAAAAAAGATGAATGAATGAACAAAATTAGCAAATAGGGGGTTCTCGGAATTTTCAAAAGGTTCTAAGTTCAAAAAAAAAGAAAAGCAAAAAAGCGTACAACTTTCAAAAGGCACACGCCTAGGCCAAGGCGCAAGGCGCATCAGGCGCACTAGACATGCGCCTTTTGAAAGTGCTGTGCCTAGGACCTGGGCGAGGTACCTACCCTAAAATGTGCCTCGTCTGTGCGCCTAGGCAAGCCTTTTAAATCATTGCAACATCCCTTTTTCATCTTATGTTTTGCTTCCTTTCTTTTTATTGGTTTAAAACAATGGCTATGCCCCATTTTCTTTCTCTTCTTTTTTGTATCTTTTCCCCAAGCTTTTTGAATCATTTTTATTGGAATTAAACAGGGGCTTCACCCCCTTCTTTTGTATTTAATTTTCTTGCATTTTTCTCCATTTATTTCCTCATCATTGGTGTCTCAAACAGGTATGGAAACTTCCTATCTTCTTAATTTTTTTTTTATTTTTTATTTTAGTATTTGTTCCCTAGATTTTCTTGGTCTGAAACTGGGGTAAACCCTTCCTTTAGTTCTTGTTTTATGTTCTAACTTGTATGTTGTAACTCTAATATTATGTTTTGCCTACTTGAAGACTGCAAGAACCACAAGCACAAAAGTTAGTTCAATGGTTTGTAGATTAATATAAAAACCAAAAAACTAGTTCAGGAGGGGCAGAAATCTATAGGCTTCTTATTTTTATACTCCATTGCCTAGGCGAGGCCTAGGTGCCTCGGTTCCCCATGGTTGCCTAGTCTCACCTTGCACCTTGAAAACTATGATTCCATGCCCCTAGTAAACCACCCAAAATTTCTTAGTTTCATTCATGTAAGCATAACCAGCCTTTGCACATTTATTTGTCTTGCCCTTTGAGTCCTTTCCATAACAGCCATTACCTCTTCTTTAGGGAGTCTCTTATGCCAGCAGGAATTTCTAGGTTTTTATGCTGGCATAAGAGACCCCTTTGATAAAGCCATCACACTGTTGCTAACTATTGGCCTCAAAGATCTTTCTCCAGATCCCCCTCCCCCATTTTAATGAGAATTAATCCATTCCTGTTAGCCATGTATTGACAAACCGTTTCTGTCCCTAAAATTTTTGCAAAAGCAACATGAAATTTTGGATGATGTGCTGATGTCCAATTGGTCTAAAATTTTATGGATGACCTATTAAGACAAGATGCTTCAATATGAGCAGTTCTGATGAATCTGATCTGCAATGTGGCCATGAATTTTGCCACACCAGACCATCACTGGCTCACCCCTGATTGACCTCATCATTTCAAACTTTTGTCAGCCTATCTAATTAGTATGTTGTGCTATATGTTATTATTAGATCCTTAGATGAAGGTTTACAACTGGTGTTTCTGCAGGCTTTATCTAGTCCTGTATTATCTGCTGTTAGTGAGCGTTATTACAAAGTCACTGCTGAGGCATTAAGAGTTTGTGGGGAGCTTGTCCGGGTTGTTCGTCCAAGTTTTGAGGTGAAAGCATCCTTGACTTCATTATTATTTTTTCAATCCTTTGTCAATTTTCTTTTACTGAAATTGTTTCCTGGTATAGGTTTGTGGTTTTGATTTTAAACCTTATGTTCATCCAATTTATAATGCAATATTGACACGCCTTGCAAACCAAGATCAAGATCAGGTTGGTTGAACTCCTAACTGGAATTTTCTTTCTTCATATTCATTGTGTCTTACAAGACTCTTTGTTCAGGAGGTTAAAGAGTGTGCGATTTCTTGCATGGGGCTTGTCATTTCAACATTTGGTGATAACCTCCGTGTAGAATTGCCCGCATGTCTACCTGTACTTGTTGACCGGATGGGGAATGAGATAACCCGACTTACAGCTGTGAAGGTTTGTATACACTAAACACATTTGCTTAATGAATACAGTTACTGATAAAAGAAATGGCTTAAAGATGATGTCAGTTTACATCCTTTATTTTCTTTATTATATTATCATGCTTTTATATTTGTTAGAGTTCCGTTGAAATTCTCCATTAGGTCATTGGGTTTCCTACAAGTAATTTTATCCTGAGCTGAGTGGTTGCTTCTCTGCCTGGATTCAGCATATGCATTCCAGTTGGCTTGCTTTTGTGCTGTACATGCCCTTTGAGATTGAAGGTGGTCATTCATACAACAATATAATGATCCATTTCCTAAAAATATCCTTTTGCTGTTTGAATTTGCCTTAAACAAGAATTAAAAGAATGTATGATGAATTAAACAAATAAATGTGAGCATTAGAACAAACATTAAAAAACAATAATGATTAATGAATATGAGTTCAATCCTATTAGGATTTTAGCACATACCTAGGCATATAATGTTAGAATCAATGACATGAATCTATAATAAAAAAGCTCTAAAATGGTTGCTGATACTGATTCATCTAACTTTCTTTTGATAAGTAAAAGTAAAAATTTCATTAAAATGGAAAAAGAAGTACAATCTGAATAGGTGTTAGGGCAACACCTAACAACAGACTGGGTGAAGAGAAGCGCTAACTCAATGGCTGATGGGTTAGCCAAGCAAGGGGTGCTTAAGGAATCTATGTTTTGGGCTAATGTTTAGCTTTCTTATTTGTTCCTTTGTTGTGGGGGAGTTAAGATAGTTTACCTCCCCTTTCTTGTACTTAAAGTTACACAATTCTTATTATTTAATAAAGCATTTTGTTACTGATAAAAGAAAAACACCTAACAACAGAAAAACATAAACATAGTGGGGAACAATACTAATCATCATCATATATTCATTATACAATTTTGAACACCCAATACCTCCCATAAACTTTCCCCTAAATCCTCTCTCTTGACTTGAGAATTTTTTTTTTGATGAATAAGAAATAAAGAAATACAGGAATCACAGCTGAGCCCAAAACAGGGAGTGGCGCGAGCTGCAGCCCCTCCTTGAATCTTACAAGTAAACTAAGAAAGAAATATAGGAATCACCGCTGAGCCCAAAACAATTCTTCCCTATTTACCCCTTGCTTGGCTAACAAATCGGACAAAGTATTTGCTGATCTCCTCACCCACTGCAAAGAGACCAACATATTCCTTGTCAACCAACTGAATTTCTTCATTTCATTCTTGTAACGCCATATAGCATCTTTAGGATTTTTCAACCATCTTTAGTATTTGCTTGGCTAACATCCCTTCTCATTTCTCAAGACACCCCCCATTCCGGATAATCCTGGATTACCCATGCTACTTCCATCAAAGTTCAGCTTCAGTGAGCATTGAGATGGAGGAGACCAGCTTGTAATTGACTTGTCCTTTAAAGGTGAACACCTCGCTACTGCTGACCAGTTTCTCCAAAGGTCATTAAAAGAGAATTGATGAAAGATTTCCAAAGTCTTCAGCCAAAGTATTGCCCTATGCAACAGATAGTCTTTCAATTCCTGACTGCTCCTTTCCTTTTCTTGAAGGATTCTAGCATTCATTTCTTCCCAAAGAGTCCAAATCAGGGCAGCGTGAGCACATCTCCACATAATTCTCCCTCTTTTTGTAGGCCAAGAGAAAGTAGAATGGTTAAAGATCATGCGAACTTCTGCTAGTAGACTCCAACTACTCCCAAACAATGAAAGTAGCCCAAAGGTCTGTAGAAAAAGGACAAGATATTAGTAGATGGTAACAATCCTCCTTGTGAGCTCTACATGGGATACACCAATTGGGAGAAGTACAGAGGAAAGGTCTTCTCTTTTGTAGGTTATCTAGAGTGTTTACTTTCCCATAGAATTTCCCAACAAAACGCCATAATCTTTGGGGGAACTGGCCTACACCAAATTTTCTTTGACGGCAAAGGTTGATGAGCAGAAAGCCGAGAGATGGACTTGAAGTAAGAAGCACAAGTAAAGGTTCCTTTGGGTCTAGGAGTCCACACTCTTTTATTTGGCTTGGAGGGATCCAAGCAAACCTGATTAAGGCAACATAGCAAGTCAGAGAGATTCAATTTCATCATCCCTTAGTCCCCTGCGAAACCCAAAATCCTAATTAGGAGCCAAGGGTGTTCCCAATGGTGAGACAAATTTTGAGACCACCTCTTTTTTATACAAAGAAACAGAAAATAGCAGAGGGAAAAGGTCCTTTAGAGAGGTGTCTCCTACCCAAATATCCTCCCAAAAGCGAACAGTGTTGCCAGAACAAACTTCATACCTGATAAAATTGAGAAATTGAGGAAGGGTGTTGTGAATGGCCTTCCAGGGTGCTGCCAGGTTAGCCTGCCTTGATACACCAGCATCCCATCCATTCTCTGGTCTCCCATGAATGCTTCCTACCACCTCATGCCACAGCCTCTCACTTTCCGATGGCCTTCACCACAACCATTTCCCTATCAAAGCTTGATTTTTTCTTGACTTGAGAAAATTCAGGCATATTAAAACCCAATATGCCACTGATTTGCCAACAGCCACCACTAACTTGTCCAATTTCCATTCCTTGTCTTCAAAAAGTCTTCTATTTTTTTTCTTCCATATATTCCAGCAAATGGCAAATGGAAGACACCTCCAGATTATATTGGCCAACTTACCACCTATTATTCTTGGCCATAATGAAAAAATCTCTGCAGATGATCTTGGTTGGAAGGTTCCAACTTCAAAGATTGCTTTAAAGAGGTTCCAAATGAAGCCAGTAGTTTGACATGAAAAGAATCGATTTATCTAATACTTGATACAAAGTTACGAACTAATTAATGTATAATAAAACATGCCTACACTCTACAAAAAATAAAAAGGATATAAAATATGAAAGAATCCAATACAAACCATCATTTAATTAAACAAGAATTCTCTAATTTACTTCAAAGGCTTAAGAAGCGGCAGCAACCCCTCCACTAAATGCACCTACATAATCACCACAATCAACATTTTCATCATCATCTGGAACATCAAATTCTACTTTATCTCATTTTCCTCAATATTTTTGTTTGACATTGTGTTTTAATCTTCTTCTTGCACAACATTTTTGCTTTCCAGCATTGCCTCTTTCATGGTGACCTCTAACTCTGTTTGCACCACAACCACTGTGGCACTACATCCATATAAACTTCTCCTTGACCTATTAGACTCTTCATGGATTTCAGATTCCCCTAATGCTAAATTAACTTGACTCCATATAAGATCACTCCCTCTATGAACCATGCTATCTGATGGGTCTTTCCCAGTCAACCATTTTCTACTCTCATCTAATTCATCAAAGTAGATCAGGTCATATCTTCTAGGGTTTGCATGTCTTGTCAATAACCTCACTTCAGGACATTGAATCATTGATTGTCTTGAAGAACGGTAAGATCATTGAGTGTCTTATGATTGGCGAACTTTGGATGTGTATGAAAAACAGCCAGGGATGTATGGGAGTTTCCTCCACACCAAACATTTCACTACATAGTCCCTTGCTTCTTTTTTTGGCTAAAAGAATATTGGTTGCAAATATTCTTTTACCCCCACACCATGGAAATGTGTCTTGCAAGGACGCTTCGAAACAGTCTGTGCTGTTTTTTCCATTTAGCAATCTCATAATCATTGTTTACATTCTGAAAGCAAAAGAAGACATACATGTGTGAGTTGATATGCATAACATTGTAAGATAACAAAAAAAAAGCGTAGCACAATACACCTATGTTTTGGAGGCGGTGTGGACGAATGAGGAAATTAGGAGGCCAAGGCTTTGGTTGTAAACTAGACCTTGAGAAGGCGTGCAATATGGTGGACTGGAGTTTCCTCTTGGAGATACTTAGGACTTGTGGGTTTGGGTAAAGTTGGTGCTCGTGGATGATTGGTTGCCTCACTTTTGTTCATTACTCTATGCTAGTGAATGGAATGGTAAAGGATTTCTTTCCAGTCCACAGAGGGTTAAGATAGGGTGATTTTCTTTCTCCTTTTCTGTTTACTTTGGTGGCGGATGTGCTGAGTAGATTCATATCAAAAGCAGATAGGGAGGGAATAATAGATGGTTGGAAGATTGGAAGGAATAATGTCTCTGTAACTCATCTCCAGTTTGCGATGACATTATCATTTTTTTTTGTGAGGGAAGTGAGAATCCTAGGGAAAGCAGATTTTGGTACCCAGTTGTTGAGAAATTTGAAAGCAAATCGACAGGTTGGAAAAAGAATAATATCACTATGGGTGGAAGGGTAACCTTGATTAAGGCTACACTTGCCAATTTACTAGTCTATTATCTCTCTGTGTCTAGGATCCCCTGTAGGGAGGCTTGGAAATTAGAAAAATTGATGAGAGATTTTTTTTTCAGACCCAGGGGAGGAGAAAAAGGATCACTTAGTTAATTGGGAGATAATTTGTCGAAGTAAAGAGGCAGGGGCTCTAGGATTAGGGAATTTGGTCCTCAAAAATGAAGCTTTATTGGGGAAGTGGCTATGGAGATGGGCTCTGGAAAGAGAAAGTTAGTGGCATAGGGTTGTGCTTAGTATTCATGGCTGTTCTGTCTCTGGTTGGGATGTTGGGGTATCTCATTAGGCTACGCAAACAACATCTTGTAAGGCAATACATGGCGTCTTCTCCAATTTCCTTCAATTTGTAAGGTATGACACTTGCTCCGGAAATTTGGTTCTGTTTTGGGAAGACACTTGGGTGGGTAATCAACCTCTAAAAGACCTATTTCCTTTTCTGTATGCTTTTTCTCTTTATAAAAAGGAGGTTATCTCCGTCTTTCTTCCCCCTCTAGTTTTACCTTTATCCTTGAACTGGGACTTTGGTTTTCGTAGGTGCTTAAGGGAGGATGAGCTTGCTTCTGTTACTGAACTTCTATCCATTTTAGAGGGTGTTTGTTTGGACCCCTCTTCTCCTGATAAAAGGGTGTGGACCCCTATCCCAACAGGTTCCTTCACTTGTGCATCTTTCTTCAAGTCCCTTTGTTTGAGTACTTCACATGAGCCTTTCCTAGTGAAAGAAGTGTGGACAAAGCCTGTGCCCCCCAAAATTATTGTCTTTTGTTGGGAAGTGTACCTTGGAAGATTAATACTTTGGAGAACTTACAAAAGAAAAAGCCTTTCATTTGTTTATCCCCAAACTGGTGTGTTGTGCTGCTTGTGCAAATCTCATAGTGAGGACTGTTACCACTTACTGGTTACTTGTTTCTTTATTGCAACTCTTTGGGATTGGATGTTTGTTTTGTTTGGATGTAGGTAAAATCAACTAGTAGAGGTAAAATTTTAATTCTCATTGACTACCTTTGCTTGCCCAGTAGAAAGCGGGAGGAGTATGTGGAGATGTTTCAGAGCTGCCACCTTATGGACAATTTGGGAAGAAAGATATGCTAGAATCTTCCAAGATAAAGACTGGTCCTTTATAGAAGTGAAGGAATGTATCTTAACTGGGGCTATCCATTTACTGAAATCCTTGGCTACTTTCAGTTCTTTTTCATTTGATGACATTTGGAGGGATTGGGCCATAGTTGCACACACTTCGGTTGGGAAAGCCAGAGCCACTACAGTTTGGGTAACTCCTCCAGATGGATTTTTTAAACTGAATTTTGATGGAAGCAGTCAAGGTAACCCAAGACCATTTGGCATTGGAGGAGTATTGAGGAATGAGAATGACAACATCATATCCTTATTTTTAGGCCCGGTAGGGATATGGGACTCTACAAGAGTTCAGATTGCTAATCAACTAGGAGTGGAGAACCTATTAATTGAAGGAGATCATAGGTGATTGTGGGCTGGCTGTCAAATCGAGACTCAGTTGTTTGGAGTCATGGGGATCTTATCAAAAAAGTTAAATGTTTAACAAGGCACATAACATGTAGATAACAGTGGGTGGGTAGGGAGGCAAATGCCTTGGCTGATTATCTTGCTAAACTGGGGTCTACTAGGGATCGCTTATTTTGGGCAGCATTGTAATCTTTATTTCTTATCTCTTGTAATGTTTAGGGGAGGCTGCATCTCATGCCTCTCCAAGGGATTCTTGTAAAGTTTTATTTCTCTTGATTAATGAAATCATTTTTAATTATCAAAATAGAAAAAATGTCAATTCTTTAGAGAAAGCACTCGAAGTGTGCTTATACTGCTCCATTTGATGAGGGATTTTGTCTTGAAGGTCACTATCACTGACCATCCTCTCCATGCACTGAATAAAAGCCTATTTCAGACTTTTCAACTGATGCTTTTTATTTGGCTTTAGTTTTATAATAATATGGCTAGATTGAGAAAAAAAAACTAGCTAGGTGATATGGATGTTACTTCATATTCGTCGTTCTCACTAAAATAATCTCATTCTCACCTAAATCTTATTTTATTTTCTCTATTGCATTTGCGCATATTGTATTATAAAGGTAACACATTGCAAAGTTTTCATCATCATCATCAACCTAGTTTTAAACTTCCACAGTTGGTTGTGCAATTAAGATAACAATTCTACATTCTTATAAAACCCTATAAAAAGCATAGTTTAGAAGGCTATCTCAGCTTGAAAAAAATCATTTTGCTACATATTCATTTATATATTTTTTTCCTTTCATCCTTTTTTAATCAGCTCTCTGTACTTGTTTGTACGAACTTCCCCCTATGCCTTGCTTACATAACTTTTTCTGGACATGGTCGTGCAAAAGTACCCTTGGATTCTTTAATGCTTTCCTTACTTTTTTTTTTTTTGCGTGTGAAAAAGAGGATTTGAAGTTGGGGTACTTCTATCACTTTGAATTGAAACCATCTATTTCCATAGGTGGGTTATTTGATTCTGAGACTTCCTTTTAGAAATAATCTTTCCCACAGTACTTGTCTTCAACTGAAATTCACCTTATGTTTTTTTCCTTCTTTTTGCTCTTATTCTTTTGCATGTGCTTTTACATCTCCTTGTAAATCACTTGTACTTGTTTTATGGCATTTAATAGCATCTCTAAATGTTTATTCTTTTTATTCCTCCATTGATATTTTACTAGAAAAGAGTGCATGAAAATTCCAAATAGCATAGATTAGAGCTCCCCTCCATTAATCAAAATTAAAATTTTAAACATCTAAGAACTGCAGAATTTATGAAATTAAATTTCGGTGGAAGTAGTTTATGGAATCCGGGACCATCAGGAATAAGAGTTTTCAGACCAAAGAAAGGAGGGCTAGGGATTAGAAGAGTGAAAGTTTTTAACAGGGCCTTGTTGGGGAAGTGGTTATGGAGGTTTGGGCTAGGGAGAGGAGGATTCTTTGTGGAAGAGGGTGGTGATGGGGAAGTATGGGGTGGTAAGGTTTGGTTGGGAGCCTAGAGAAGTAAAGTCTTCATATGGGGTGAGTGTGTGAAAGGGGATCATGAGTTTTTTAGTAGGGGATTCAGAAGCCTAACAAGCTTTTCAGTAGGAGATGGATCAAGAATCAGGTTTTTGGAGGATAATTGGAGTGGGGTTGGCAAGTTGAAGGAGTTATATGCCCAAGACTGTATAAGCTGGCTGAGGCTGAAATTACTATCAGTAGCTCCTATGAAAGAATAGAACAGTTGGTTTGGAGTTCAAAATTCAGGAGACCTTTGCTGGATACTCCTATGAAAGAATAGAACAGTTGGTTTGGAGTTCAAAATTCAGGAGACCTTTGCTGGATATTGAGGTGGAAGAATGTACTATTGCTGTTAGGGAAGGTAGAGGAGGTGAAGATCTCTTCTCAAATGAGGGATGAACTTTGGTGGAAGGAATGTCCAAACAGAAAATTCTCAGTGAAATCCTGTCATCTAGCTCTCAGCAGAAGTATTTCAGAATCAATCAAATCAGTTAGGAGTTTGGGGAAATCTGGTTCCCCCAAGGGTAGAAGCTTTTGCTTAGCTAGTGGTGGACAGTATTCCAACAGTGGATCATCTAAAATCAAGAGGTTTCAGTATGGCTAACAGATGCTGTCTATGTGAGGAATAGGAGGAGAATGTCAGACATCTGTTTTTCAACTGCAAGTTTGCTGACTTCCTTTGGAGTCTGTTCACCAAAATGTTTGGAGTATCTGATTTTCTTCCAAACTCAGCTTCAGAAAATTTTTCTGCTTGGCCAAATTTAAGATGTTCTAAGAAGGCTAAGGTGATTTGGATCTGCATTCCATTTGCAATTTGTTGGAACATCTGGAAGGAGAGGAATAGAAGAATTTTTTATGCCAAATACTACAAACATGGACAGTATAGTAGCTGTTGTAAGCAAGGGTGCAAAGGGCAAAAACTTGAACATTAGAAAGATGATTATTGAAGGCGATTCCAAATTGGCTGTTGCATGATTACAAAATGAAGAGGCAAAGTTGTTGAAATATAAAAGGACATGGAAGTAAGGATATAATGGGTCAAAAGGAGTAAAAACGCCATGGCAGATGTTCTAGATAAACAAGGGGTAGGGAAGAACCAGATATTTGTGGAGAGATGAGAGAGGTTATCTCTCATTGACTCTCTTTTTTGTACTCTCTTTCAATCTTAGTATTAATGAAATCTGCAGTTACTAATTAAAAAAGAACCATGTAATTTTTAATTGTGCAAAAATGTCAAATATATTGTACTTAATTTTTTTTACATAGCAAATGAAAAAATGTAAAGAAAGCAATTAAAAAATATCAAGGAAAGAATAGGTAAAAGAATCAAATCAATAAACGTATTCATGCAAAAATTGCAAATTAATAGTATTATATAAGCAAATTAAATGCAATTTTCGTGGAAATTTTCCTAACTGATGCATAAACACTAAACATAATCAGATTTATGCAAAAGTTTCTCACTGTCACTCATGCAATTCTTTTCTCTAGTTTTCCTTATGGCTCACCTCTCAGTCCCTTACATGTTTTATTGCTATTTCAGCATGTTTCTACTTCAAGAATGATGAAAACAGAGTTAGTAGTAGTAGTACTAGATGATAAAAATGCAGAATCAAAGAAGGGGGGGGGTGTGCAGCTCCTGTTTCAGTCCAAGAAAAAGAAATAGAGTAAGTGAAAAAATAACTGGAAAAATGTTTCAGTCCAAGAGAAAGAAGCAACAAGTTATAAAAAAGGAGCAGAGCTCCTGTTACCTCATTGATTGCTGTTGTTCTGTTCAAGTTGAAGCTGTGCTTTCAATTTTATATAGTAGGTGAGCAGCTATTTGGTTGATTCCCTTGTGGTCTTCAACAGTCTTTTTTGATCCCAAATGCATAAACCATCCACCTTGTCACATAGGTTAATTTCATAATGTCTATGATGTTCATATGTGTATTTCTTGTTTTTCCTCTCTATTAACAACATTTATGGTTACCTGCCAAAAAAGTAGGAAGTTTGTTGAGAGCATGCGTTCGTCTATGAACTGTGCAGTTATTATGGTTCTATGGCTGTACTTTCAAAAAAAAAAAAAGATTTTATGGCTGTTGCACTCTTTCTATGGCATGAAGAAATGACCATTATGTTTCCACATGGATACTGAATATCATGTCATGGATGGTTCTGCTTTTTGTTGTTTCAACCTTTCACTTAAACCTTTTTTAAAGTTTAAGTGGTGGCTTCCAGGCATTTGCTGTCATTGCTGCTTCTCCACTGAAGATAGATCTGTCATGTGTTCTGGGTCATGTTATTGCAGAATTAACAGCTTTCTTGCGGAAGGTATATGCATCACATTTTCCCATTTAATGAAAAGACTCTTGAACTACTGTGGTTTATTTTCCTAATTGGTAACTTGGAGTGCATTATCTGAAAATATTCTTCTTCGGTTTGTTTCCCTGCCATATAGGCCAACCGGGCATTAAGGCAGGCAACACTGGGAACACTGAATTCCCTAATTGTTGCATATGGTGATCGAATTGGGTCATCCGCTTATGAAGTTATTATTGTGGAACTTTCAACTCTCATAAGGTTCATCCTTCCGACTTGTGCAATGCTTATTTATTTAGTTCTTCCCTCGTATAATCAACTTATGGTTGAATATAGCTTTGTATAGTATGGTTATAAAGACTTTGTTTTTATGAAATTTTCTATTTTTCAGTGATTCAGATTTGCATATGACTGCTCTGGCATTAGAACTTTGCTGCACATTGATGGCAGACAGGAAGTCAATTCCAAATGTTGGATTAACTGTCAGAAGCAAGGTTCTTCCTCAAGCTTTAACATTAATCAAGAGCTCATTGTTGCAGGGACAAGCCCTCCAGGTACTGTCCTCAACCTTGTTCACTTTGTATATTAATTTAGAGTGTATTATTGAAAATATTTTTCTGAATAATGCAGGCCCTGCAGAACTTTTTTGCTGCCTTAGTCCATTCAGCAAATACAAGCTTTGATGACTTACTAGATTCTCTTCTTTCAAGTGCTAAACCATCTCCCCAGTCTGGTGGTCTTGCAAAGCAGGCCTTGTATTCTGTTGCACAATGTGTAGCTGTTCTCTGCCTTGCTGCGGGTGATCAGAAATGTGCATCTACTGTAGAAATGCTGACAAGAATCTTGAGGGATGATAGTAGTACCAATTCGGTATGACTTCCTTCTAAATCGCTTGTTTCTTTCACTTTAAGGGTATTTATGGTTATGATAGAATGCTAAGATACTGTTTTATATCCTAACTTGCTAAATAAGTGCATTTGGTTAAGGAAAAAAGCCTCTTGCTTAAGAATAAAAAGTTGATTACTTTCTTTCAGAAGTAAGCTTGTTTATATTTCTAGCCAATTTTAGTGGAAATCTCACTGAGCCTAATACTTCAGTAAGTGTTGTAAAAGTTGAACCAGACTGGCCAGTCAGACCATCAGACCTGGGAACCAGAGGCCATTCTGGTTTTTTAAAACCCAGTTTTCCAGATTCCCAGATATCTGGTCAAATTGGTCAAAGAAAAAAGAAAGAAAAGGAAAGGGAAGGAAAGAGAAAGAGAAGGGGAAAGAAAGTTTGGGGGATATTGTTATGCGTCTTTGTTCTTCTTAGTACAAGACATCTTTCATAGAGAAGGAGGGAGGGAGGCAGATCCTCCTTCTTCTTCCTCCTCTTCCCCCTCCTTGTGTTTGGGAGGCTTACGCCTCTTACATTCTGAACTACACCTCACGACTCCAGGTAGCAGAACGCCTCATGTCACGCCTCCGTGTTTTAAAACATTGCTGTTACTATGATACCATTAGTCCATGTCACCTTTTGTGCTCATTTTGCAAGACTTGAGCCTAGACAGTTGTATAAAAAAACTGCACCTTAAACATCTCTTTGCCTCTTAGACGTGATATAAATAACAGAGTTTATTATTTATCAAAGTTCAAAATATTGGAAATGCAAGGTGTATTGGAAAGGCAATTTTAAGAGATGTATCGGGATACGCTTTGGATATGTGTTGATACACAAAAATTAGGGTAAAATATAAAAGTCTCCCTGAATTTTCTGACAATCTTATAAACCTCCCCTGTGTTTTGACCCTAATAAAAATCTCCCCTAAACTTTTGAAAAAAGATATAAATACCTCCCTTTTTTCAAATTTCCACTAACAGAAACGTTGAAGTTAATAAATTGCTCTTTCATTGTTAAATTACTCCATTTTTCTTTTCTTTGCCCATTTTTCCCCATCTCTTCTTTCCCTCTTTCTCTTATTCCATGGCACTAGCGAGTATGAACAGTCCCGTGTTGGTGCAGAAGACCTAAATAGCTTAGGAGGTATCTATACAACAAAAAATCATTCACTCAATTAGAAAAAGAAAGAACAGTGCAAAAGAGCCGTAATGCAATCTCTTCTAGAAACCTTTTTTTTTGATGAATAACATAGAACTTTCTTTAAAGATTAGAGAAATAAGTACAAAGAAGATGGGGAGAGGTAAAATCTCTTAACCCTCCCCTAGGGAAAACAACAAACAAATTACAACATAGCCCAAAACAATTGATCCCTTCCCACCCTCCCCTAGGGAAATAAGTACAACAGTATCCGCAAAGGAATTGGCACTTCTCTTTACCAATTTTATCTGAAGTTCCAAGCCTTGTGCTAACTGATTAAACAATCTTTTTTCATTTGCAAACTTCCATAGACCACTATCTTCTTTTTGCAGCCATCCAATAACCGGATTTGAATCCCCTTCAACAATATGATTGCGAGTTCAGATCCTTAGCCTTCTTCATGCCTTCCATCACTGCCAAGACCTCAGCCCAGAGAGAGTCTCCAACACCAATAGGACCAGAATATAAAGCAATGACTTTTCCTTCTTCATCCCTAAAGGTCTCCACCTATGCCCGAAGGCCTTGGATTACCTTCACTACTGCCATCCAAACTCAGTTTGAGTGGTTGACAAACCCATTGGCTGGTGGAGACCAAAGGGAAACAATTCTGGTCTTTGCTGGGGCTGAATCTACCCCCTCGTTCCAATTCCTTCTTATCATGTTGGCGGAGATACCTTCAAACAATTTCAGGGACTGCACCCACTGTACCACTCTAATAGTGACTGCCTCAATGACAACTTCCTTACTCCTTTCCTTATTAGAGAATATTCTTGAATTCCTTTCTTCCCAAACAGTCCAACAAATGGCAGCCTTAACACATCTCCATAGAGTCATATCCCTCTTCTTTGGCCATCTGAAAAAAGACGAGGCAAAATAAGCTTCGTACATCCCGAGGGGGCGTCCATCAGCAATCAAACAAGGAGAAAAACCAAAGCCAAATATCTGAAACAAAAGGGTAGGAAATTAATAGGTGATAGCAGTTTTCACCATTAGCCTTACAGAGGACACAACAGTTGGGGGATAAGCACCAATTAGGCCTTTTTCTTTGGAGCAAGTCACAAGTGTTACACCTGCCCAGAAAGGCTTCCCAACAAAAAGCCCCAATCCTAGGAGTCGGTTTACCCCAAACTTCAAGAACAGGAAAGTTAACCCCTAGGCTATCAAAAGGCTGCATTTAAGGCTTTGAAAAAGGCACAAGAAAACATCCTAGAGGAGGTCAAAGTCCAAATCCTATTAACCCCCCCTCCCCCCGCCCCCCCGTCCTGGATCCAAAAAAAACCCACCCAAGGTCTGAGTTAGAGTTGAGGCAGAAAGGATTTTAGAATCCCTAAGGTCCCTTCTAAAACCCAAGTTCCAATCAAACCCAGAGCCAGAATCTGAAGGAACAAGAAAAGTGGACACCGACTCATCTTTAAAGGAATACAGGGAATACAAAGAGGGGAATTCCTCTTTCAAACAGATATCCCCCACCCAATTATGTTCCCAAAATTTCACCCAATCTAGGTCCAAGTAGCTAAGAGGCCATTCGGAAATTATACAACCCAAAATTTCCACCCTTTCTGCCTTCTCCCTATTGATCCCCACCACACAACACTTGTCAAGGCTTACTCTTAAGTTGGACATTTTTTTCAAAGAGTCGAATCACCAACTTTAAATTCCTAACCCAACTAATCTCCTCACCCTCACAGAACAAAATTGTATCATCAACAAACTGTAAGTGAGTGAGTGGGACCCTAATTCTACCTACCCTCACTAGGTTCTTAGAGCCAACACTTCAACTATTAGGGTAAACAAGAAAGGAGAGAGGGGGTCTCCTTGTCTAATCCCTCTAGATGTGGGGAAATGATCTACCACTGCCCCATTAACCAGAATGGGGTAGTGGCAAGTTACTAAGCAACCCTTTATCCATTTGCACCACTTTGCCCCAAAACCAAAGCTCTCCATTACCTGCAACAATAAGGACCAATCCACCAAATCATAGGTCTTCTCCAAGTCCAGTTTACACACCAAGCATTTCCTTCCACTTATTCTCAAATCTTCCACACTCTCATTGGCAATTAAGATCTGGTCAGTTATCTGCCTATCCCTTACAAAAGCTCCTTGATTTTGTGAAATGATGTGAGTGAGAACAATTCTGAATCTCCTCTAGAGCACCTTAGCAATGATTTTATTACAAGCTGTTTACCAAGCTAATTGGTTTAAACTCCTTCGGATTTGGATGAATTGCCACTGCAATCTCTTGGGTGAGCAGTGGCTCTCCAAATACAAGCATAAGCTGATGTGCATACTGCATAGTTGCCTCTCCATAGTGTGGTTGTTGTGGTGAGGCTTACGTACATGTCTGAGCTCAAATTGTCGGCAAATTAGGAAAGACAAGATTTACGGCAAATTAAGAAAGATATGATTTGATTTGAATAAATTTAGGAAAGATTAGATTTGAATAAATTTAGGAAAGTCATATCCTAGGATTAAGGGAAAGATTTAGTCAATCTCTGATTGAGAGAAATTCTAGGGGTTTTGTCTTTCCTATCTTTTCTTATTTAAGGTGTATGCTCAATATGTTTTCATCATCAATAAAGAAAATCTTCTTCTTTTCTCCCTCTATATTTCGCAACATGGTATCAGAGCTTTAGGGTTCGACCATGAACTTTAAAGCCGCCATGGTTGGCTCAGGTTCAGCATCTTCGGATGCTACCAGTGGTGTGACGTCTTCGGAGGGAGGTATTCAGCCAGCTGCTATTTCTTTTTCTGAGAATTACCTTAAGATTACCATTCACAAATTGAATGAAAAAATTTATCTTGAGTGGTCTTAGTCCGTGCGGTTGGTGATTGACGACAAAGGGAAACTCGGCTATTTGAATGGCGAAGTGAAACCGCCAGTCACTGATGATCCAAAGTACAGGCAGTGGCGTTCTGAAAATTCTATGGTTACCGCCTGGTTGATCAACTCTATGGATCCTGTGGTTGGAAAACCATTCATGTTTCTGTCGACGGCTCGTGATGTGTGGGAAGCTGTTAGGGAAACCTATTTAGATTTGGACAATCGTTCACAACTGTTCGAACTGAATACCCGAATGTGGAAGATGCAACAAGGTGACCGTGAAGTAACAACTTATTATAATGAGATGATGGCTGTTTGGCAGGAGTTGGATTTATTTGAAGAAGAAGAATGGGAAAGTCCCAGTGACGGTGCTCGATACAAAAAGAAGATAGAAAGAGGCCGAGTTTTTGTCTTCTTGGCTGGTTTGAACAAAGAACTTGATGAGGTTCGGGGACGTATCTTAGGACGAAAGCCCTTGCCTACTATAAGAGAGGTTTTTTCAGAAGTGCGTAGAGAAGAAGCATGGTGGCAAGTGATGTTGAAGAATGTTAGTGAAATAAAAACAGAGAATGAAGGGTCCGCTCTTGTGGCCCGAGGTGTAGACTTGGATGGAGAGAAACAAGGAGGAAAGCAGAGGCCTTGGTGTGATCATTGTAAAAAGCCATGGCATACTCGGAAAACTTGCTGGAAGCTGCACGGGAAACCGGTGGGTTGGAAGAAAAAATCAAGCAGTGACAACAAGTCAGGGGGAGATGTCTGCGCACTTCAAGTAAGCAACTCGGATCCAGGGCAGCAATCATCCTYAGAGTCTCTTCCTTTCACAAAGGAACAAATAGAACACTTATATAAAATGTTTCAATCTCAATCGTTAAGAAATTCTAACCCATCTTGTTCTCTAGCTCAATCAGGTAATTTTTTCACTGCTGCCATTGCTTGTACCAAATCTAATGGCTCCTGGATACTAGATTCAGGT